TTTCAGATATCGCGGCCATCGATTCCCGGGAGTGCCAGTCGGGATCATAAAAAAAAACTTAAGTGTATGTCTTCCCATTTTGCTGCACTCACTATCTATTCATTCAAATTTTATTAGATGTTTAACGTTACTTTCAAAATTTAAGTGTTCTGCGTCGAAATCTTGCAGAGGTGTCATCTCAAAGTAGTTTAACTTAAAAGCGACTTCGATGAAATTTAATTGCTTTCTTTACTTACCAGCCTCAGCATTGATTTAATTAAAAAATTTAGTCAAAGGTAGATAGGTAAGTACTTTATTTTCCATTTAGGTGACAGCATATTATTAGAATGATCAATTCATGGGGTGAAATACATAAGAATATAATCAGGGATAAAAATGTTAAACGAATTATACGCCCCCTACTTTAAGAGTCTTACGTGTTTTAAACCCTTTGATCAGTCATAAGATAAAATGTTGCATTCCTTTTCAAATTGAGTTCAATTACCCTATAACCTTTTAATCTCATAAAGCATCGCATTGCTTAAATGTCTTAATTTTGGTCCTGAAAAAGTCCCCTGCTAACACATTAAGTGATTAAACTAATCGAACTTAGTTTCACGGTTAACCCCAGACTGCCCGCTCCGTCACCTTGGACCACACACATTCCAGGTCCTGGAGATTGTATCCAGCAGGTTATTCTACAGGTCCTGCTGCTAACTAGTTACAAATAATTATCTGTTTCCCAAATACTCGGGGACAACTTTATCCGGAGAACTGGCCATCTCAACCAACCGTCCATCCAATTGCAATTACAAGCCAGTGACCTTGAGTCGCCGCTGGGGCACCGAGGTTAGCCCAACCATCAGAGTTTTGGGTTTCGGAACTGGCATATCGAATCCCAAGGAATCGAACGCGTCCTCTGAAGTGGAATCTCTGCGACTAATGCTGTGATTAGCATCTGCGTTGACAAACACAGTAAGCGGTCCCAAGGCAAAGATCCTGCCATGCAGTTTCTTGAGTTTTTCACATCTACGGAATAGAGGGAACTGGCACTGGAAGACGAACCCCACCCAAGATGAATAATTATGGGTGATCTTTATGCTAGCACCGGCTCCTCGCTGGGACCGTTAATGCTCAAGTTGAGTCGCGGGGTTCCAGGGGTTCTACGGAGTATGGGTTCCGTTCCGTTCCGTTCCAAAGGCGGGAGGATTACCTGCGGCGTTTCCTCTGGCATTCCTGAAATTTCCTTCCTTCACCTTCAATTGATGCGCTCGAGTCGCGCTTTGTTAGCAGCTATATATTCACGCGTATTCCGCCGAAACTCGCTAATGGTCACAGCAAGTCGTCCGATACGATACGATCCGTACCGAACTGAGCCGAACCGAAACCATGTTTCACCTTGGTCCCCGCCTGTGTTATTAATGATGGAAATTTGAAAATACAGAAGGTTCAATAATTGCAACATCATTGGGTCTTCGATTTCTCAACCTTCGGCTGACTTTTGTCCCCGGCCGTAAACAAATTGCCAGGCATTTCGCCACACTTTCCGATTCCGATACCGATCCCGGACTTGAAACAACACACGCGCGTCCCTGAGGATACGAGAGGGAGAAATATATATGTCCACATACCAAAAACATGGCTTTATGGACTGGGTCTAGGCCTACATCTACCTACGATCCGTAGAGATCCGATCGGCAGCACTGCGTTTATATTGCAGCAATTTCGAATCAATTGAATAGTTTCCACGAATGCGCACAAAGGCCATAAAACGCGTCGCGTGGTGAAGGCGCGCAGATACAGATACGCAAACTATGAGATATTGTAACCGGGAGAAGGACAAACTTCTGCTTTTTCAGCAACAGCATCACCTTCACTTGGCTCTGTTGCCTGTTGGCCCTGTTTGCCTGTTTTATTGGCCTTTTTGTCATCGTAATTCACGTGTAAAACATGCCGAATGCCAAGTTCCCTTTCGGCCATTTCCCCTCTGTACCAAAACGAAAAACTGGACTCGAAGATTGCGCGTGCGCACCTCTCCATTTGTTTACATTGCGCGCACGCCCTTCCTCGGGCACTCCTTTGGACTTCCTTTTTAGAGGCGTACGCCCGGAATCCGGAATTTAAAATCAAGTAATGAACAAACAAATGCTGAGCGACTCATCCCATTGTCGATTCCCCTGAATTTTAGGCGCACGAATCAAGTTCTTTTAACACTTGCCAAGGAGAAAGTTATATTATTATGGTAGTGGCCTTGTCAAAGGAGCCTAGAAAAGAGGATAGAGAATGCTTATACTAACTGAATTAAATATTAAATTGTACTAGAAGTAACCTTTAACTCCTAGTAATAACCTTATATTTATTATAATCGATCTAATTCGGAAACAAAAAATACATAAGGTGCTGCAAACCCTTGTGCAGATTACAAATTCACTGTCTTTCATATTGATTTCCGCAATATTTTAGTTCACGGCAACTCTGATTAGAGCCTATTCAAATAGTTAGTTCTTATCATCGGCAATCGCGGCCCTTGAAAAGTTGGACAAGTTGCAGTTAAGCTCCCGTCTGGATGTTTTTCCCCTTAAGCTCCCGACCAGAAGAGCTTCTTCAAGAGTCAAACCCCCCGATAAGCTATCGGCGATTGTCTGTCTGTGGAGCAGCTTATATCAGCTGAAACCTCTCGAGTAGCTCCCACAAGTGGCAGTACCGACCGAAAAGCCTAAAATCAAAAGCCCAAAACCAAACCCAATTCAAGTAGCTCGTGCAGTTCACCTTAATGCGGCCCTCGGCATTCGGCATTCGGCATCAACATTCGGCACTCGACGGGGGACAGGAAACTGCAGCTCCAAGTGACCGCCACTGCAACTGCATTTCGGACCCGAGATTGGCCAGTTATCTGATGTCAGTCCATAGTCGTCACTCCTCCCCAGTTCCTCTGTCCAGCAGATAGCTACCCGTCATTGTCCGGAGGCACGAGCTCGATTAGTTGCTAGGGAAAGGTGTGCACTGGGAGAAAAATACTCAAGTTTTGGTGCGAAAATTGAAAAATTCCTATGTGAGTATGCGCCTAGCAACTGTTCCCGAATTTTATTTTTAAAATTTGATGTAAAATCATTTTCGCTACACTATGGTCATTTCCCTACAATGCTCCATTTTTTTTATAGTTAAAGAGAGTGTATTCTTAAGCTAGACGTTTTAAGAATTATACATCTGATAAACCCATTGTCTAATATAATATTTTGAATGATCATATAATAATTTTGGTTACAAATATTATTTTCTTTTGGAGATAATTTGGCTTTTATAACTTGAAAATTCATTTTTAATTTTTAATACTTACATATATTTTGGCTGTTATTTTTAAATCTTTTTTCCGAGTGCGTTGTTTGCCTTTGACCGGACGTTAATTGGATCACTGCTGGACCCCAGTAGGACCTACTCCCGGTTCCAGTCTTGGCAGCTGTCTGCTGAACGACGCCCGCTGGGCACACATGTCCTGCGATGTGTCCTCCTTTGATTGCCTACTAATCCTGGCCATCGATGCTCAGGCGACAATCGAAGTAAACAGCCAGACAAATGGGCAAACAAATGAGCTGGGGCGTGTGTCCTTAAACGAGCCAAATTGGATCATAACTGCGAAATGCTGAAATGCTGAAATCTGTGCAAACAGCGCTCTAATTAAGTCCTGCGGAGAAGGCTCACATAAAAAGGGCATCGGACCTCGCTCCAAATAGCCGGGACCATTAAAACTGGACATTGTGGGTGCGTGTTTTCTGAATTGCGTCACAAGAGCGTTGACTTGTATCGGGAATTAAATACTTGGGGTAGAAATAGGCCTCGGGGGAAGGTTCTGACGTCAGCTGGTTTCTGAAACACAATAAAGTAGATATTTTAAAAGAGGTGCGATAAAAACCCAAGTAGAAGACCAGATTACCATTTTCTTTAACACAAAAACATTTTTAATAAAATCGATAAACACCTCATTAAAATATATATATTCAAAACTATAAAAAGAGCAGAAAAGTATAATTATTTGTAAAAAAGATTTAACAAATTTCTTCACGTAGGCATTTTGGGGATAGAAGAAGAAGAAAGGGTCAGAGTGGCCTCACGACGTAGGGCCTTGGGAATCGCGTGATCCTCTAAAACCAGGCTCGCGATAAGGCAAGACCAGAAGTCCCCAAAGTGTGTGGGGCGTTTCCCATGTGTATTTGATGTTGCCAGATATTATCCAGATTTCAGAACCAATTTCCCAACAGAGAAACAGAAACAACTCTCAACTCGATGGACGCAATATCGACAATCTGGGTTTATAATGGGGGCGAAACTACTGATCGAAGCCACTCACAGCCACCAGAATCAGTAGAACCACCAGCACAACACTTCATCGAAATACAATTGGTCCCATGGGGCACCTACTTATCGCTCGGAATGTTCGTTTTTTAATTGCCCCGTTTTGTTGAAATACAATTTGCTCATGCTGATGCCTTTGTTGAATTTAACACTCTTTTTATCGAGAATGAAAAAAGAAGAGGAACACTTACCGAGAAAAAACACTTAGCGTTAACTGGCCGCTATCAAGTGTGAGAGAGTGTTTCGCCCAAAGCCAATCGGCATCGAAAGGGCCTGGGAAGTGGGTCGATATAACGCCCACTCCCATTAGCTGGTGTGGAGCCACTCTAAAACATAACCCCCCAACCACCCACCATTCAGATACCCTTTGCATTTCCCAACGAGCCATCATCGAACGACTCCAATCGAATTAATGCTAGAGGCCGTTTCTTCTTCCGTCCTCAAATGTGACACACTTAAAAGATATTTTCCTCATTGAAGTGGTTTCATAATAATGTGTTTTTCTCATATAAGATATACAATTTGTTATGTTTATATTATTAATTTTATATAATTATATTTTCAAATATTCATACGTTCCTTAATATATACTAAGTATTTGTGTACAACAATATATATTTTGATTGCTTAAAAACTATAATTTTCTTGTACTCTTAGTCTTAGAACGAAGATTTTATTCTATATCAACTATTTTGATTATATTTGCTTCATGTCATATTTGTCATACATTTGTTTTGGTTTAGGTACATATCATACAACTTTAAGTCATGGTAAAACGCTTCAAACTTTCTTCAGACATTTCTCTGAGTGCATTTCTGGGCAGGGCCAGGCAATTCAAATTACCGCCACTAATCTTGCGGGCATGTCAGCCGGACCCGGCCAAACCATTGACAGATCCCAGTGCCCAAACCGAAAGCCGAATTCAAATCCAAAACCAAAAACCAGCGACCCAGGACCGCAGCTCAAAGTGCAGAGTGCACTTGACAGACAGCCAGCTGCAGCAGCTGCCAAACGTATCTGTATCTGAAAATGTATCTGTAACTCTGGGCGTATATTCCTTGGATCCGTTGCTGCATTTCGAATGGCAATTGCATTTATTATCGCTCCATATCGCTTGAGGTTCAATTAACGCTTACTACTGTCCATTATCGGTATGTTTGGAGGGCGTTTCGCATCGCCATCGCAATTCAATTGTCCAGTTGAATATCTTGAGGCCGTTTTGCAACCGACAGCTAAGACAGATGACTTAAGTTAACACTTGACTTGATTTCTAGACGAATAATTTAATTTTAAGTATTATTGCCAGCACTCTGGGTTTATTCCATTTCGATAGATTCGTTTAAATATTGTTAAAGATACAAGAACTTACGAGAATTTCAATCCGTTATGTTTTTTCTTTCATGGTTAGTTTAAATAATATAATAAAGTTTAACATTTTTCTAGTTTATACCTTGTTTTCAAATTTAATATTAGGACGTGCAAAATTATCATTAATCCAGTCAGTCATATAAATATTTTTAAATCTGAACTGTGTTAGTGGCGCCATCATTACTGCGTTTCAGTTTTTAAGCCAGGTGGCAACACAACCACAAACCTTTATATATCCCAAAAGTATGCCATCAATTTTTTAAACACTTTCCTTTAAGATAGGCTATACAATGTGTATAATATATAAGATAGGTTTTAAAAAATGGAATTATTATTGGATATAATAATATAAACAACTAATGATTTAAGGCTCAAGATATTAGAATTCAAATAATATAAACCAAATCATTCATCCTGACATTTTAATTACTTTTTCACTTTAGTTATTGGCTTACACTATCGATATATCGCTATCGATAGCAGTTCCAGTTGGAACTTTCCACAGGAAGGGAAGCCAAGCAAGTGCATTTTTGCAATTGCACTAACCATTCAGAAACCACAGCAAAACACTTTGATTAGCCATGTCATTAAAACCCCACGGCACAATGGAAGATAAGGTTATCGGATCTGAAAGTTGGGTAACCGATTCAATCTGTGGAAAAGTACGGAGCGATGTGGGTGCGCAGCGGAGTGTTAATTGTATTTCTGGGGATTCTGGGGGTTCCTCCCCCGATCTCGGCTGGTAACGTTCTGGCTGTCTATCCGCACTTTGGTTTTAGCCACTTCAAAGTGGTGATGCCCATACTAAATGAGCTGGCGACTCGGGGACACGATATCACAGTGATCTCGTATGTGAAGAATCCCCATGCGGTAGCCTTTCCCAACTACGAGGAACTGCTGATCTCAGCGCCTGGTGAGGATCAGTCGAGCACCACGATCAATTTGGTTCCCCTGACGGAAAACACACCCACAAGATCCCTGCCAGTACTGATCCGTGAATACAAAGCCCTGCATGATGAGGGTCAAAAGACCTGTGAACATCTCTTTGCCAGTGGTCACATAGAAAGGGTTGTCGAACGACACCAAAACAAACCCTATGATCTATTACTCACGGAATATTTCAACTCCGACTGCCAACTGGCCTTGGCCAAGTTAATGAATCTCCCAATTATAGGCTTGAGTACCTGCGCCCTGATGCCCTACTATTACGATCGCATCGATCTGCCGGATACACCCGCGTTTATACAATCTGAATTTGTGGGATTTGCAGGCCAACTGAAATGGCATGAGCGTCTGCTGAACTTTATACAAGCTAAGTTATTGAAGTTTCTCTACAAATATCACTCCAATAGAGCCGACAACATGGTGATACGAAAGTATCTTGGCGTAGAAATAGATGTAGAGGAAGTAGCTCGTACCCAAACTGCTTTTATTTTCGGAAATCAGCATTATTCGCTAATGGGCAGTCGTCCACAATCCCTACAATTTGTGGAAATTGGTGGAGTGCACATCACTAAAAAGGCTGAAAAGGAATTACCAGAGAATATCAGCAATTTCCTGAATCGGTCAAACGAAGGTGTGATCTTCATCAGCTGGGGTTCTATGGTGCGAGCTTCGAGCATCGATAAAGATAAGCTAACAAGTATTTTGGAAGTTCTACAACACCAGCCCTTAAGAATCATTTGGAAGTGGGAGGGGGATGAGACCCCAAAAACAGATTCCTCCAAATTCCTCTTTATAAAATGGGCTCCTCAATTAGCTCTTCTTTGTAAGTTATACTTCTGAAATTCCCCAAGCCCGGATTTCATTTTCAATAATTGCTTTATACTAAATTCTAAACATAAAACCAGTTATTACGTAAAAACCGGACTAGGGCCCTTTACATTTTAAATATCTATTCACACTCAATTCTATTTTAGGTCACCCCAAAGTAAAGTTGTTCTGGTCTCATGGCGGCCTACTTGGAACCACTGAATCGGTTCATTGTGGGAAACCCTTACTAGTCACTCCTATCTATGGAGATCAATTCCTAAATGCATTTTCTGTGCAAAATCGTGGAATGGGTCTAAAGTTGGACTATGAAGATATCACTATACCAAACCTAAAGCAAGCCTTTACAGAGCTAAGCAAAAAGAGGTAGATTTTGAATACATTTTTACGAAGCAAAAATTTTTTAATCTATCGTTTTTCCAGTTACGCTCAACGTTCTCTTCAGATCTCGAAGATTTTCAATGAGCGTGAGAAAGCGCCGCTGGAGATAGCTATTTGGTCTGTGGAACATGTCATTAAAAATGGTTTAGTAGCCGCAGAACTTCTTCAATCGCCAGGCATTGAACTTAATGGATTTATCTACCACTCATTGGATAGTATAGCCCTGATATTCATACCAGTGGTTCTCTTGATAATAATCTTAAGTTATATGTGCAGAGGAAAACCATCTACGCCTGCCAATAACAAACTTGGCAAGAAGCCAAAGAGATCTTAAGCCTCACAAGTCCACTAAACATAACGAATGACATACAAATTTTTGTAACAAGAAATATATAGTAAGTATAGTTTAATGAGGATTTCAGTAGCGCAGGCGTTGCATGCAGTCCCTGCGACACTCCTCAAAGGTCAGGAAATTATTCTCAGTGGAGGCACAGCCCGTGTAGTAGAAGCTTTCGCAATTTCCGGTCTTCTTGTTGTAGGCATATCGCAATTGACGGCCTTTGCACAATCCAGGTGCCTTGGGCTGTCTGCAAGCTGACGAAATATTAAAGTTTATAAAACATATAATAAAATCTTTTTTTTTTTAAATAATAAATAGCTCACCTATTATCTGTTCGATTTGGTCGTGCGTCTGATTTTCCAAACTGGGGAGACCCAAAGAGATGCCAACGAACAAAAACAACACTAGACAAAGTTGCCTCCACCTCACAATCAAGGCCATTTTGATTACTTCATAAATGTAGCAATAAGCTAAACAAATTTAATTAAATTCCAGAATTTAATTACACTCTATCTTCCTGTTAAACTTTCGTTTTTCAACTACAGAGCTTCAGTTTTCCGGTGCGATCTGCAGTAACGTCGGGCACAGAATGTTCTTATTTAATTTGTCTGGCATTTTGACTGATTTTTCTCAGCTTTCTCTGTGTGACGATTCTTCTTCCGTTCGTCACGTACCTGAGTTTTGTTTTTGGCCAACTTCGTTTTCATTTCAGCGTTTCCTCTTTTTATTGCATATTTTCCGCTGCACTCTCTGCCAAGTGAAAACGTGTGCAAAGAGTAGCGCCCATATAGGAAGAACCTTGAATAGGTTCAATTTAGGTGGAGGGCATTTACATGATGTAAACACAATGTAAATTTCGTTTTTCACTTAAATAAATTACAAAGCTTTCTTTTTGAATGTCATAATACTAAATATTGTTATCTATGACGACCAAAGAAAACTGTTAAGGGAAGAGCTTGCTAGAAAAATACAAAGAACTATCGCATAAATTTGTTTATTCAATTTCTAACTGATTTACTTAAAAGAGACAATTAAAAGGGCATGTTATTCGTACAAATAATAGACATGATCGCTAGGACTAATGAAAGATAGAAGAGAGGCTGGATAGAGTTTTAACAAATGTTCTTTTAGGGCGTATGACGGAAGACCTTGGTCAGATGTTGCTTTAAAATGTTCTTACAGACTATAAGGCAACCCGATTTGTATGCATTAACAATGATATATAATAATTATGTTAATAATATTTAATAGATACAAATAAAAAGAATTTATACAATGCACATGGCTAATAGAGCTCCAAAACAGAGTCACAGAGTCCTACTTACAATTTACACCAATTCCAGGCGAACTAGACACATATCCTCATTACAAAATAATAGTTATAAACTCGTTAATAAATTCATTGCGTTGCACATCATGGGGATAACACGTCACGGAGACGCACTATATATCTATAAATCTAAAAGAGCTAAAAAACGATGGATGATTGTGTGCTTTTGTGTCGGCCCTTGGCCTTGCGACTGCTACGTTTCTTTGTTTTTTGGGGCAGCTTTTCAATGCGAGCTGCTGACTGTTGCTGTTGGCTTTGGCGTACATATGGCGCACTTAAGATCAGTTTCTTCTTCCTTGCTTTCATCTGCTCTGGTTTTCTGTAGCAGAAGCGTATAGAGAGCATCGTCTGGGAAGCGGGACCTTAACTCCCCCTAGAAGTCCTTGTCCCATCCAGTGACATCGTCAGGTGGTGGACCCTCCGGATCGGCGGGATAGTCATCAAAGTTTGTCGTATCCACCACGCTCTTCACGGCGGGCTTTATGGGCGGTTCCAGAGTGCAGTTCTGTAGGCCCCACCAGTAAAAGCCATCGAACCATCTGTGCGGGGCGAAACCAACATATTAGTTTGATTTAAAGACACTTTTTCAGGGAATCTTACTTGTGCTTCTGTATCTCGCTGATTCCCCCACGCTGGTAGCCCAAACGCTCGGCGGGATTGTCTCGGCACAGCTTCTTGATCAGATTGCTGGCATTACGTGTGATATTCCTGGGGAACTCGATGGCATCGATGCCCTTAAGTATGATATTGTAGGTACGCATAGGATCCGAGCCAGTGAATGGAGGGGTACCTAGAAAAACGGAATTAATAATGTTTATTCTATTGGCATTATTCTTTTAATTGTTTTCCCAACTCACCCGTTAGCAACTCAAACATGAGCACTCCCAGCGACCAGTAATCGGCACTAATGTCGTGACCCCGGTTGAGAATCACTTCGGGAGCCACATACTCGGGCGTGCCGCAGAAAGTCCAGGTCTTCCTGCCCGTCTGCAGCTTCTTGGCAAAGCCGAAGTCCACCAGCTTTACATATCCCCGTTCGTTGAGCAGCAGGTTCTCCGGCTTCAAGTCCCTATAGATTATGTTCCGCGAGTGCAGGTAATCGAAGGCCTCCACCACACACGCCGTGTAGAAGCGGGTGGTGCTGTCATCAAAGTTGCCCTTGTCCCGCAGAATCGTCCAGAGTTCTCCGCCCAGGCAACTCTCCATCAGCATGTACAGGTACTTTTTGTCCTTGAAGGTTTTGAACAGCTTCACGATGAACTGGCAATTGGCCTCGCCCATGATCTCCTTTTCGGACATGATATGCTGCTGCTGTCTCGTCTCCACGATCTGTGACTTCTTCATCTGCTTGAGGGCGAAGGATCTAGAGCTATCTCCATTGGTCTGGACCAGCTCCACACGGCCAAAGCCGCCAACTCCTAGGGTCGCGATCACGCGCAGATCTGTGAGGTTGATGTCCCGGAATTCCTCATTGATCCTAGAAAGAGTATTGGTTGTTAGTTAATATGTACTTGATAAAGTCACAAAACTATGATTTAAATGAGTAATAGGCCTTTTGGGAACAGCCTTATTAAAATTTAGTCATATAATCTTTTTTAAAATAGCAAGTAATAATATATTTGCCTCAATTGAAATCTGAAATGAACTAACATTTTAAATACTTCCAATTCTAATTAGCGCTTTATAACTATATTATTAGTCTTCCTCTCAAGATTTGTATAGTAACTACTAGCTATGTTCAAAACAAATGTGGTAATTAAGTGTGGCGATCACTTGACTATCAAATAATTATACACTTCAAAATTTAAATAGCTTTGAGTTGATTTCGTGGCAGTTTATTGACCTTGTTGTACGTTGATTCCATTCCTTAGTGCTAATCTTGATTAATTTTTTTCTTTAAATAATTGTTTGCTTACTTTCTGCGCTCCATGGCTCCCTCGTCGTCGTAGCGATGCTTGATCTCGTCCAGATTTGAAATTAGCTGATTGAAGGTCTCGCGATCGATGACCAGACAACTGACGCCATCAGCGGATTCGCAAATAATATTCGCCGTGCGCAGATCATCGCTAAATAATAAATAATTTAATTAGTTTTGCTACGTAATAAAGAGTTTCTAAGGTATAAAACTCACCCCTGGAGAGCCTTTTCTCCAAAGAAATCTCCCTTGCCCAGCATGCGAATAAACTTCTCCTCCTGCGTATCCTGCTGTTTGATCGTCACCCGAACTTTGCCCTTTGAAATGATGAAGAAGGTGTCGCCTCTGGCTCCTTGGCGCACAATGTAGTCGCCTCGCTGGTAGTGCGTCTCCTCCAAGACATCGGAGATCTTGATAAGCGTGTCATCCGCCAGGTCTTTGAAGATGGGCACGCTGGAGGAAGATAAGAAAGCAAAAATTGTTAGTTTTTTTTCAAGAGATAATCATAAAGAAAGTGGTTTAATTAGTGGTCGCGCCAAGTTCGATCCAGATAAGAGAATTCCACAGTAATGGTAGGTCTATTGTTGACCTACATCGATCACTGAGAGTCGCACCAGAACTCCTCCCATTATGTTTTTCCCTCTGGCTTTGTGCATCGCATATATCTCTAATCTCTACACTGAACAACCATTTGGTAACTTTGGGAAGTGAAGAAAGTATAGTAAAAGTGGAAATAAACTGGTCTTAGAACAAAGGTATGAAATTTATCGGTTTTAAAGGTTATAAAAAAGGTTGCATTAATAAACAAAATAATTTCCAGATAGATTTCACGGGTTTCTGATAAACCTTTTAAATACAGGGCTTTTAAATGATTTTACAGAGCATACAATTTTCTCTAACTGTAGAGCAAGATAATCGAACTACAACTTCGTCCATTCTTTTTCCCTGCTGGCTGGCATTTTTTAGTGAATGCCCACATGTATCTGGCAGCTGCAGTATCTGTATCTGAATCTTTCATCATCATCATCATCATCCCAATGCACTTTCATTTTCTATCCGTTTTTTTTCCGCTACTTCTTTGAATGTGGAATAGGCAACGAGTGCATGGTCGAGGCCTCAATTATGGTTTTTTAGCAGTTTTTACGGACGACCAATTAAACGCGATTAATTTGCCGGTCACTTTGGGAAGGAGCGACTGGAGGTGGAAGTGAGACTGGAAGCTGATCATTGCACAGACATGGCCAAAAACTGGTTGCCACGGCTGCCATTGGAAAAAGAAATTTCTATGCGTTCGTTGGCCGCAGTTTGAAGTTTAGCTGAAGTGAGCTGTGAGTTTTCAGCTTGAGTTTTCAGTTTGAGCCATTGCACGTCATATGGACGCCCATGACCATGACGATGACGGGATGGCCATAATGGTGGATTCGATCTGAAGAGATGCTGTCGATGGGGCCGGCGGAGAAAGTTACCTTACTTTATTCGACAAACCTTGCACGATTTGAAAACACAAATCGACCGGGGCTAAGAAATGAAAAAAAAAAATCCTTAAACTAAGCGATTTTTACATTTGCCATTATAAAGTAATGACCATACACGAAGTGCTCTGCGGAATTGATATAATTAAGTGCAAATGAACATTAATTACGCCCAAATTGCAAATAACCAGTCGGCACCATCTCGCCATCGCCACAGGCCCAAAGGCTCATTAAAATGCACATTAAATTGCCGATTGGCAATGGGGAAGTCGGGTCTGGTCTTCGAGAGGCTGTTGGCCAAAAAGGAAAGCGGCGGACCGGGCGGAGGGCTACTCACCTCTTGAGGAAGTCGCTGTACTCCGCCTGGCGAATGAGGCCCGTTCGCATCATGATGGTCTGGAAGCACTGGCGCTCGATGGCCCACAGGTTGCATTCGGTGATCGCAGTGATGGTCGCCGTCCTCTGGCAGTTGTACAGGATGGCCAGTTCGCCAAGGACCTTTGCCCCCGAAAGGGTCGAGAGGTACTTGCCCTCGCGGGAAACCTCGACGCGTCCATCTGGGGAGGAAATAATCAAGTTAATAGGATGAATACAAATGTTTTGGATAAGAACTCCCCATTATTTGCTAGTCTAAGTCGTAATTCTAGGATACATTGGAAAAATATTATCATATTTATAAAAAACTGATCCTAAAAAAATATGATCTTAACTGATATAACCTCTCTCCATGATCAAAATAAATATAAAATTAACGTATTATTGTTATGATCTTTTAGAAATACCTTAAACCCTAATCCAATCCAATCATCTAACCCTTACCCTTCTCTGCTTCTTCCTCCTGCCCCCCACTCGATTGCTCCTTGAGATTTCCGGTCCTTCGCCGCCGGGCATATGTGTGCACTGGAACGATGAGACGAGGTCGTGGGATACAAAACCCTTCCCCGTTGAGATCCTTAGAGCTGCCATTACTGCTGGCAGCGGGCGAGATATGCGGACTCTTCTGACGAGCCTCCTTATCCTCCTCCAGTTTGAGTTCCTTGATCGCCTGCTCCAAACTATGACGTCTCAGCGATGCATTGGAATCCCTGGATCTGCCGATACTTCTGCTGGAGGAAATCGATTGGTTGGGCATCCTTATGGTGGCATATCTCTGCACCGAAGTTTGCGATCTACTGAGTGGTTTGGATACCCTTTTGGGTGGCTCTGGAGGCGGTTCTCTGGGCGGCGGAGCCATCAACCTCTGTGGCTGCTGGCAGATCACTACCTGATCCTGAGAATCCTCTGCAGCGGAGGAGAATGTGGAGTAGGCGGAGGAGGAACTGTTGCTGAGATTCTGCTGCGTTTTGCTGGAGATTTTCTGGGGTGATCTCAGGGTAGCAAAGGTGGGTGGTTGCGACATCGTTTGAGAGCGACGCAGCGAGGGCGGTTTCACCGAGAACTGTTGTCGTGGTCGCGGAAATCTGGGTCTCTCCGTGGGATCCAGGACATAATGGTTGACTGCGGGAGATTCCTGCGAATTAGGCGACTTTTCTTCACCCTCCACAGGTGGACGTATCTCTTCGATTTCATCCTGATCCTCGGCCACCCAACCATTGTGCATCTGCTGCTGCTGATGATGCTGCAGTGCCGATGGTCTATAACCATTTAGTTCCTTGATGGTGCTCACTATACGTTTGTCCCTCGATTGCTGCTCTAACTGACGGATATTCTCCAGGGTCATTTGGTACTTGCTTAGGGCTGAGATGCCCTCGATGAGGAAACTGCTGCCGGCGGAACTGCTCTGCCGGATCAATTTGGAGCTCGTCGGACGTGGAGGTTGGCTCGCCTGAATCGCCTGATTAGCCTGATTTGCCGCCCTTAGCCAGTTTTCCTCATACAAAGCACCCATGGCACTGCTGCCCTCCAGCGAAAGACTCGCATCGACGGCTTTGCCCGGATAATGTTTGATTTTCATTACGAAAGACAACAAATTTCACTTGACCAGCTGCAGCGACGTGCTTCTTTGTTTGTCTTCACTTCTCCGTTTAAGTTTATGTTTTTTTTTTCTGTTTTTCTTTTGTTTTTGTTTTTTTGGACTCTTTTGCATAACCCAAGAGTTCGGAAATTTCGCGCACGGAATATTTGAAGAGTCACTGGGAATGGCGATGCCTATGGTTTTCAGGCCTGAAGTTGGTAACAAAATAACAAAATTTATTTGTTATTTATATTGCAAAAGCCACACACGTTTGGTGGCTCTTTGCTGTTTCAGTTGCTGTGTTTCTGCCGTTGTTGTCGATGTTGTAAACTTTCCATGTTTTCGCGACTTGCCTCACGTTTGTGCATTGATTTTGTTTATGGCCAGTTGATCTACCCACTTTGACAACTCTTTCACAATGCTGAGCAGAATAATAACAATAAATTTAAATTCAAATTGGGCCATTCCAAAGGAAAGAGTCGTTTTCAATAAGTTTACTGGTAAACAATTATAAAAATGGGATTTTTAATATTCCATTAACAGTAATTAAATTTTAATAGTCTTTATTTCCTATTGGGTAATTCACTACTATGTCTAGAAATCTTGACCGGATTTGGGGAATTACGCACGTTTCAACCGTATACAATGTTAAATAGCATTTAGCTCAAGTTGCAAATTAATTTCGGGCAATTGGTAAGAGCGTGTGAATGAGTGAGTCTCGATTTTTTCCACTGGCGAATGCATCGAAAGCTTATTCATCGACAAATTAGCCAGTTGTGAATGAATGTGGGCGACGCGGTGAAAAGGGGAAGTGACAATTGGCGATATTGCCAAAGGTAAACAATAATAAAGACGTTTAACAATCAAAGGTAACGTATTGCCCGACCTAGAAAACCCGAAAATAAATCAAGTGACCATCGGTGCTGGGCTCGAAAATAAAAATGGAGCGTGACTCTGAATTGGAAGGGAGTTTTTAGCTACGAGGGATTTCCAATCGATCGTCTGTGGATTCATTTACGCTAATTGATAGGCCAAACTGATGCAAATGATATTGTATGTATACTTTATGACTCAGTTTTTCCATGGGGGTGTGTTCGAAATCTGCGGGTGATCTCTGGCAAATATTTTCTTTTTAAGTAAAGTTAAGTTAATATTCAATAAGCATTCAGAGAGGGCATGCATGACTAGAAAAAATGTGCACAGAAAATTAGAAAGTCTGGATTTTTCGGAATTGGGTGTGCTGTAAAAGTGTTTATTAACCGCGAATGGGAAATTTTTATGGGTATATTAATTAATAATACCATTTTTGGGATAAGATATTTATTGATCTCCCAAAAAAATTTAAAATGGAAAATGAAAAACGCACTACTTTTGAAAGCCTTTGATATAAATATAATATAATTGCGAGGAATATCATAAAAATCTCTGTCAGAAACAGAAAATTCTCTTTAGCTTTTACTAGTAAAATTACCTAATAAAAGCATTTATATTATAATACGTTTTTCCCATTCAATAAACTCTTGTTAAACATCACGCTAAAAAATTCCACAACATCTGCGATCCAATTGAAAACACTCGATTGTCACGACTACGCACAATCGGAAACGGTGACTAAACAAACACCGGCGACGAGCAACAATTACGAGCGGCGAGCACAAACAGCAAACAATGATCATTTGTAGCACCTTGAACATGATCAATCAAACAGTAAACAAAAGTGTTGTTGAACTATTCTCTTAGCTAATAGCAATTAAATTACCGTAAAAACACACACAGAGATACAGATACTATACATTTGCGTAAGAGTTGGGGGCGAGATATTTCGAGAATTCGTTATCACTACGTGGTTTTCCCTGTGAAAAAACCCCTCGTGCCTTGGCTTTTTAAAGTGATAATGGGTAAACAACACACGACTGAGATTGCAGGCCAAATAAACAATTTTCCTAGGTATTCAAAACAATTTATATAAATTTAGTTTTAATAATGGGCAAGTTTTTCCTAAAACTAAGTGTGGAAAGCGCCAGTCTGCCAAGTTTGGGGTTCGACGAGTTCAGAGGGGTCGAGGTTTGCTGGCTTTTTAAAATGCGGAAATCCGTCAAGCCCAGTTGAACACCCCAAAACGAAAAATAACAACTAAAGGAGAGAAAAATGTGTACAAATTGAAACTGCAGACATTTTGCAATTTTGCCCAGAGACTGGCTTCGGGTATTAATGGTTGTTGGATGTCGAGTGTTGGCAAGGTCAGCCAGTGTCTGATTCGCCGATTTGAATACAATCGCACAAGCGGAGGGAAACAAGAATTCGTTAAGAGCAACTTTAGATTTACTTTGCACTGCGGGAAACGCATAAAAGTCTGATAATAGCTCACTTATTATGGAATTTAATCGTAGGAAATACCAATTATCATTATGAATAGTATTTGTGATATAACACTCAATAAAAATTGTTGATATTATTTTTACAAAACAGTCGTTTAATAATACAAGTGCTTCAAAAAATGAATGTACATTTGTTAAGTAGGATATTTAAATATTAATCAATTGGTAAATCTCTTCTGGTCACAAAATGTATTGATAATTTAAATATTTTTCGCTGTGTTCTTCACCACTTGGCCTTTTGAGACTGCTATTTTTAGAAGTTAACGGATCTCCAGAGCAGTCTTTCGGAAGCCTCGATTAAGGCGAAGTTAGTCACAGACATTGGCTTGTGTGCCAAGGGCAGTTTTTTTTTTGGGTTCGGATTCAGATCGAGTCCGAGTCCGGATCCAAGTCAGTTTCGGTTTTGCATGACAGCTCGTAATTATACCACAAAAAACTTGGTCCGCCCTTTTGACCGACAATTAAGGCAAGACAAAAACTTCAATGGCTTAGTCACTATTTTTGGATTATTTCTGCCTTTTGCCAACATGACCGCATTTTGGCACACACACATTGGCTTGTAAATCATCGCAATAAATATTTATGGCCATATAGCTCTGCTCACGTCTCTTTTGTTTGTCTATGCTAATGAAAGTCACATATGAAGAAAGTTATAAAAACTGAAAGAATGAGGGAGGGAAAAGATCAGAGGAACGAAAGATCTTTTGTGTATACAATTTAGATTGTAGTCAAGCAAGATCGAGAGGGAATCGAGATTGAGAATCAGCTAAACGGGTCCGATCGATTTCGCATATTCGTGCTCTTTGTTTTGAAAAAAAAAAATTAATTAAAAACAGCGATCAAGCTGGCAAACAAGATTCTGAACTGATCTATAGGGTTCTATGCACTGATTGGCGCTGGAATTCGAGCTCAAGATACTGATTAGTTTGCAATATCATTGGGAAATGTCCCACAGATTCTCAAACGGGGACTTTCTTACAAGTCTCATTTAAGTGATATATTATATACATATTAGCAGACGAAGAGTCATAGAAACGACTTAATGGCCTTGTATCATTAACTTTCGATTAATCAACATGGAATAGCTCTTGGCCATCGACATAATAAGTTAATTAAGCTCTTCTTTTTTTCTGAAGAAGAAATACAGAAAATACTAAGTTATATATTTTGATATTTTCAAAAAGATAGATTTGCCTTGTTAACAGGAAAAAATTTCAGTTCATTCAAAATTTTAATGCACAAATTTTAAAAAATCAAAACCTTTAATCATTTTCTAAAGTACCAGTTTGAGATTATTAAAAACAGCATAAATTGTGCAATACTTTTCCATTTTCTCTACAATGCCAATAAGCCAAAAGACAACTACTGAATTCGTTCCACTTGTTTGATATCAATTAGAAACCGCTACGGAGCACTATAATTTTGACCAATTCAGACTCAAATTTCCCAATCATCTTGTGATCTACTTCCCGCCAGCGATCATTTTCCACTTTTCGTCTATTACTCAATCTTATTTGAGCGCCCAAGCGAAGCCAGTTCATTTGGCATGTCAAAAGGCGAATGCAAAACTTGTTGGGTTACTTAAAAGTGAGAGTGCCCCTCGGTTCCGAGCCCCCAAGCCCAAAGGCCCCGGAATCTCCGAGTTCCGACCGGTCTGTGGTCTGAGTCTGAGGTTCCCCCAGCTGTAACCATCCACCGAGTTAAGTTGGGAAAATGACAAAAGAAGTCAAATGGCAGGTTGAGACCCGGTTCCAGGGCATGACATTAGCTTCTGATGCTTCAGCCTCTCCCTCGCTATGATCATCATCATTCTTGCCAGACTTTCGACTTAGTCTTCACACGATTTCTAAATTTTGGGTCTTTGTTTTATGTTTCTAGCAATATTTAATTTAATTTTCCACATTCTTTCGCATTTCAAGTGAATTTCTTTCATTTTTGGGGCCATATCAGATTCTTTGCGGGATTTATGTTCTCACATTCTTGCACGATCAAATCGGTGTAGTGACATTTGGCATTATACAGTTTGGCCGTAAAAAATAACAGCTTTATAATATCTGTATTTCTACACCATTTTGGTTGATTTTTTGGTTTTAATTTCGGACCAATGACCGAGACATAATACAAATACATTTCAACGGAGCAGTAACAGCAATAAAAACAACAACAGCTGCAAAGGAAAACCACAAACCGGAATTCTTCAAGTGATCTTTTCGTTCAATTCGAGAAAAAGAGCAAAATCCAAGTCAAGTCGCCGTTTCTGTGTCTCATTCTCCGCACATTATTTGTCTCTGTTTCTCGCACTCTGTAGGCGTTTTAGTTTTATTTTTTTCTTTCCGTAATACAAGTATTTAAAAAATGCACTTTCACTTTTAATTCACTTTATTCCAAGAATTTACGAGCAGTTCAAAGAAATTAACACGAATCGTTTGCTGATCTCTTTCAGCATAATTACAGACACGATGGGAAAAATGTGTGGTTTTTGTTTACTTGTTATGTAGAACCGCAGCAACTAGAGCTATTTATGTAAGCATCGTTGGAAATAGCGCAAAGGCATATGCGAGGGGCAATGCAATTGTCCGGTATGTGGGTTTTATTATTAATATTTCACTTGGCAGTGCCATATGCGAAAATGAAATGAAACCGTTAAACGCACACGATCCACAACTCAGAAGACCCGACAAAAACCAACCCGACGAAATCGAGAAATACGAAGTGGGAGTTTTGTTTTCAGTAATTCTTGTAGGTAAAAATCAAATCCAGGTGCAGTTTGTGCAACCGAGCGCGCATGCGCCTCACACGTTTAATCGGTACGCAGCCTGCCGGACGAATGACGAATTGCCCGAAGATCGGGGATTCGAAATACTGGTGTATTACTCATTCGCCACCGAAAGAGAAGAAAGAGCTACCAGAGAGCCGTCTCTATAGTCTCTATAGATAGTGGGAGAGATATGAGGCAGCAGCTCAGCTGGCCACGCTTTGTTTTTGTTTGTGGGTGAGAGCGCCATCGGGGGATATATGTATGTATATGGGCAGTGAGAGACACTATCACAGGTAAAGAGCTGAGCAAAAGCAAGTGCTGTGCACTGAGAAAGAATGTATCAATGTTTTAAGAGTTGTTTTTTAATTAATACTTTCAAATGTACAAATATAAACCATCCGATTAGACTTATAATCAATCTATTTATTTTTTTAGTTTTGGTTCCCCTGGATTACTTCTAATTATTATAAAAGAATCACAGTTTCCCAGTGAATGTTTTTTAATCAAACACTTTTTCTCAGTACTTAGATTATTTTTCTGAGTGTAGCTATAGAGTGCCAAATCGGTGAACGGGTTTGGTCATATGTGACATGCCGATTCTCTACGCAAAGCAAAAGAAATACAGACGTTATCATCTGGAAAACGTAACAATTCATAAATGGAACAATGAACGTGCAGAAGTATTAATAGATTCCCAGGTCCAGTGACCTCACAGATAGCTAAAAAAATGAGAACAATCTAGCATTAAGTGTTGCCTAATCCAAGCACAGTAATTAGCTTCGATTTGGTAATCAGGAAAGAGTATAAAAATAAATCAGACATTAGATAGAATGGCATAATCAATAGGTTTATTATCTCAAAAATATTTGTTCTATTTTTAATGCCCATTATTTTAAGTGCATTTTCAGGGGATTGGAATAATCAGCAAGGCCGAAACCTTGCCAGTCTCTTAAACATCTGCTGGTCGGGATTTTTCAATCATATATCATTTTCCTCTCTGAATTTTCTCTTTAAAGTATCATATGTGCGGGACTATATGATATATAGACAGATGCCGTGACATCTGTTCATCGGTTTCGAGTGGCGGACATTGGTGCTTCAGGTTAAGGAAGCGAAAATCCCAGACGATGATGTTGCAAGTTTGAGGAAGCATCCTCTCTTTCAATTCATCTTGCCACTTGCGAATGCATAATTCGGATGTTGATTATAATCATTGTTATTACTTTTGTGCGAGGCATAATCTTCACCCGTCTGTTTGCAATTAAAATGCTAATGTTAGTACGTAAATTAAGTCGGCGACTAAATTAACACACGAAAGGCATTCAAACACAGAACTCAAGCGAAACCGAGCCCATTTCGAGCAAATATTTAAGCCAACAATTAGCCACAAAGCTAGAGTCAAAAGGCCCAGAGCACACCCAGATATAAAAAAGGTTGCAAGACAAACACGCAGAAAAGCGAACAGAAACAAAATGCTAAGCGAAAATTGAAAGGAAAACCCGCTTCTTGGGCATTGTTCGTCGTTCGAGTCGACAGTCAGTCGCTGACATTTCGCTGCAAGGCGAGACTCTGAACTTCTCTTCTTCTGGGGGCGTGGGTGTGACGCAGTCCCCTCAGGACCCCTCTGCACCCCCCCTATTATTTTCAGACCGCGTTCCAGTCCCAGCCCACAGCTCAGGTATTCCACATCTGGCCAAAAAGCACACGTGCAGCTAGCCAAACTGAAGGAGTAAACGCTTATCTGCGGTACTAGTTGCACGATCATGGCGGGGCAAGGTGAACACATATATTTAGGTACATGGAGGGATACAGAAAAAATTAAGGAAAAGCGGGGAAACAAGTTTGCGAATCCCTGAAGAACAGTTATAAAGAATGTGCTTAAATATGTTGGCACATCAATTATTACAATAAAATCAGGGCAAGAATATCTCAGGAAAAAAGTGGTATGTTCAAATTCCTATATAAAACAATAACTTAAGATTTGTTAAAATAAAATAATATCTTAATATAAATATTTTATGTACCTTGTGGACATTAGAGTTTATAAAAACCAAATCTTTTACATGCATTTTACACATTTCTGATTGCAGTTAATAACATTTTCTTAACATACTTTTCGGCTGAAAATTTAAAATGCAATTGTATCTGAAAACGTCGTTGATGTTGGTCGAAATATACCAAGTTGCAGATAATAATAACAAATTGTGGCAACATATCTAGTTTTACGAACATATTAAATGATCCTTAATTAAAACAAATACAATTCAAAGTTCATATCCTAGTTGTTCTTTCATCAATCTATCTATAATAATTTACACTCTAACCCCTAATTAACTTATAAATTTCCCAACACAGTTTCTACTTTAAACTCACCTTCCATGACATAAACAATGCTCCCGACATCGCCCTCCTTGATGATCAGATTCTTGGCTGGATATTTAACCGGGTACATGCAGTCAACTATCTCGCGTATCTGCGTCAGATCCAGGTTCTTCATGAAATCATTATCCAAAATGGCAGACTTGATAAGTTCCCGGGAGCTGCACAAAACGATATATAAATGCAATTAGATATGGATATTAAAAATGGCAAGAGACTGTCAATAAAATGAGCAAAGGCAAGAATCCAATTAATTTTCCGACTGACACATATAAATCGTTTTATCTGGTTGGCCAGTTTGGCTTACAAGCCGAGCAACAAGTTGTGCCACCAAAATTTTGCGGCATTTTAACCATTTTTTTTTTTTTTGAAGCCCAATATCGATGGATGTTGGCATGCGCGCAATCGACCGATATGAAATTAATACAAATTTGAAAATTGTATGCTTCGATTTTGGAAGTGGGGGAGATTGCTTGTTTTTGGGGGAGTGGGGATCCATATCCATGGACCATGCCATGCTATGCCATGTCGGCTATGCCTGTAAATGTCAAATGACTTTATCTGTCAGCGAACTTGACAACTGGCCCGGGCCAGAGAAACAGTAATGGGACTAGAAGCAGTGTATCGGATAAAATTGGAAGCCAGAGCTGAGCTCTGGTGATTAATTAAAGCCAGTCAGACAAAAGACAGTGTGGCCAACATTTTGTAAGACTTCAAATACTACAAAAATACCTAAAATCATAATCGAAATATTAATTAGTTAATTGATAAAAATAAAAAGAATATGAGATGAAAGTTAGGGAAATAGATGCTGTGAATCTGACAGAAATAAAAGCAAGAGGTTAACAGTGGCGACTAAAAGTCAGTGTGACCAAATCTTTATGCGAAGCAAAGATCGCAGAAGTTGTCTAAAAAAAATGAAAGTCTAGTTAAAATGCGAAGAAAATGATACTATTTTCATTACATTTAATAAATTCCAAAATTCTTTTCAGATCTACCCTGACAAAATGGTCCCTCCAATCCGATCTTTTTTTGAGAATTCCAAAAATTCTTTTTAGATCTACCCCGACAAAGTTGTCCCACCAATCCGATATCTGCCCAATGATCAAAGTTAATCACGAAGGCGTTGCACATGGCTGTCGTCGATGGGGTTGGGGGCCAATTTGTAAGCCTCGTTTTTGGCAGCAATCTGAGTTGGGAGAAACCAGCAGCTACCTGATTGCCCCAAAATGTGGTGATGAGTTGGCTTTGCACAGTGGAGTGGGGACATTTGGCCGAAACGAACAACTACACCCAGACTCCGACACCTGTGGCGCCCGTTAGGCGGGTATTCATGTATCTTTGCGGTATTTTCGGGTACACCACATAACACTCACAATTAAAATTTAATAAAAAATAAAAAAAATGTACAAAAAAAAAAGAAAAGACTCATGTCTAATCGATACCCTGGTCACGACCAAGTGGGTCTAGGAAGCGACAATCTGTAATAACATGGATAGTTTTTTGGCATGTTAAAGTATTAGATTTCAGCGCGCCACAAATCAAAACTAGTTTTAATAATGGAGTTTAAACTAAAGAAGGAGACGCTCACACTGACAAAAATATCATATAATTGCGTATAAAACTAATCTTAATAGTATAAGGATAAATAACATTATAAAGAAATCCGAAAATCCCTTTTTTTATTATGTCAAATAATACTTAAAGCATTGCTTAAAATGTTTTAACGTTTATTTTGGAATATATTTTTAACAAATCTTGAACGTTATGTCGAGTAATTTAAGAACCTTTTTTATTTATTACAAGTTATTCAAAAGATCAACGACATTTTTCAAGTGTAGACGAGTAGCCGGAGGTGGTGGGTCGCTCCGTGGTGTTTTCCCCGTGGGGTTTTTGCCGGCGGAGCACTTTTTATATGCCTAAATTAACATTTTCTTTGGCTGCAGCACCACGCACATGCGTGGCACAATCACAATGCTGGTGGTGCAAGTGGTGCCACTGGCAAAGTGGTGGTGCCACATGCGTGTACGAGCCAAAACAATTAATAGCTTCAATTAGACCTACGGGCCGGCTCGCTTGAGCGTTCCAGTTGTCGGAAGCTATAACCATTCATATGGCTATATTTGTGCGTAAATTGAATTTGAAATGTGTGCCAAGGCATATGGAATGAAATTGGCTGCACCTTAGGAAATACGCGGACCATGTCCCCAAGAGAGATCTCTTGAGATCCCCGGTCGTCAATCAGTTGCGGGTGCGTTCAATTTGCGACTATCTGGCAGAACTGGCAAAACGAATTGAAAGTGCAAATACTTTGCGGCTAAGAGCAGTTGACAATAAAAACGATCTGGCGTCTTGGCCAGGGAATTGAAAATGGAAATTGCGAATAGAAGTCAGCGCCAATGGAAGCGGCAGACCAACAGAAAAGTGAGCTATTTTGGGTGGGGCTTGGTTTTTGGTACAATCTATATAACTATGGCCATGTGTGAGCTGGTTCACTGTCTATAAAATGGCAATCAAGTCATATACGCCGAAGGGGAGGAGATTCGACGAGAGTCTAAGCAAGTGAAAAGAAAAATTGCACGCCAATTTTATGTTGTTGAACAAATTAAATAATTGTTAGTAGTTAGCTACTGTTATAATTTTATAATAATTGAATCAAGTTTAGGCCACTATGGTAAGAATTAAAATCATATTAGCTTTAAGTACTTGACAATCAATAAGATATTGCATGTGAAAAATGTTTGGACTTTAATTTACTAATTCAAAAAGCAACTCATAATTTATCTTTATGATTTATATCTTTGTAGAACATTTAGTGACTTTTTTAAAGTGCTATTCATGATTTATTATTTTGATTTATATCTAGTGAGAATTTAGTGCTGTTAATATTCATAATTTATAAATTTGATTCATGCCTACTGAAAGGTATATGTATCTGTATGATATAAATCAAAATCTTAGTGCATTAATAGTATTTTACTTAAGTCAATTAAAATGCATACAGTAATAATCCTTACTTAAATGTATCTACCAGAATATAAGACTCATTATGCATTAACAGCCTGACCCACAAAATGTTTCTTATTGTCATCTTGACCGTTGACACATGTGCAGCATGTAGCAAGTTTTGAATAGACCCCCTGCCAATGCACGCCACTGCCCACATGACACCACCCCCCTAGAAACTCCACTTAGAAGGCAGTTTCGCACAATTTTCTGGCATTATTTATTAGATGGCCCCGTTGAAAGCCAACAAGCGACAGTTGCGTGGTGTAAATGGCCACAAAAGTACTGAGAACTGACCAACCTCAGTCTCAATCCCGATCCCATAGATTTAACGCATATATATAGCTGAGTTGGAGGCCTACGGCGCTTTTGATTTATGCCATGCAAGTGTCAAAAAATGTCCTGTTGCACACACAAGAGTCGCCGTCGGCACAGATTTTGGTCAGAGATAAAATGGACCTCAATTGGCTGGCTCCAAAATCCAGACTTTATAGCCCCCCTCTTCACCCATCGAATTTGGCCATAGTCGCCGACCATTAAAATGTTTGAATTGCAATTGGATTTCGCGAATTTGCCGGCGATTTTTTGCGATTGTGTCAACAGCTTGGGGTCATAAAAATGGCCGATTTAAACAAATTTGCCGCATTACTTAGCGTCCGATTCAGATTAAACCACACCAGCTTTATGCATAAATAAAATAAATATGAAAAACGAATGCATATCGATATTTTTTTGACATCAAGATAGTTAAGATTACTTCGAATGCCAAGTTTTGATGTCATCGATTTTAGAAAAACCATCAATTTCTGTATTATATTATAAAATGTTTGTTAAATTAAGTACAACATCTTTATGAAATTAAAAATGGTTTTAAATTATTAAGAATACTAATGGAAAGCCTTGATCTCCAGATAATTAATTGATTGTTTACAAAGTAAAGAACAAAAATAAACAAACCAAATTGTTATTTTTAGAAGTTCCTTAAAATGTTTGGCTAATTTTATCTAAAAGTTTTCCACTTCTATAAAAAAATACATTTAAAATAGGAAACATTTGTTTGTTTACGCCACCGGCAATAATAATTTAAATATATTTTTTTGGCTTAGCCTCAACAAAACAAAGAAAGAACATCGTATAAAATTTTGAAAAGGAATTTCATTGCATAAAATATGGATATTCCTGATATCAAGCAAAACACCATTAAATTAAGTTATAATTCACAAAAAACTAATAAAAATTAGTATAATATGTGGATCAGCAATTCTTCGACAGCGCGTGTCACCATTTAAATGATATGTGATCGCACATGCCCCGCCGTATTATTAAAAAGCATTCAGGAAACATCGCCACATAGCCAAAGAATAAATATTTGTGTTTTCTTATGTTTTTCAGCAGACAAAGTGGGGAAAGCTGGCCAAGAGCAACGACTTCCAGTCGGCAAAAGTGTGAAAAGGCCAGAGCCGACAGATCTGCCCACGCATTTTCACAGATTTAATTTTATACTCTTTTAATTATTTGGGTATATATTCCGAAAAGACTGCAACGAATTTTGCACGAACAAAAAAATACGAAAAAAAAGGTGTCTTAAAAAATCCCCCATAGAATAAACCAAATGTGACGCAATGTAGCGTGAGTTAGCTGCCAATTGGCAGCCTCTTTGTGGGCCGCAATTCATATATGTGGCTTATATCTGTATATATTAATACAGATTTTTATATCCGAGTACTGACACTGCCCAAGGCCATTAGGCGGGGCGGTGAGAGGGTGGCGGCTGGTGCAACCGCGCCTGTCACCCCAACTCAATTTTAATAAACGCATTTTGTGGCAGGCGACACAAGCAATCGACGACAGGCGACAGGGCGCTGCTCCCAATATTTGATTAAAATCGCCGATGTGACGCCGATGCCGATCGTTATCGACCCAACTATACAAAGGCTATATAGCCACACTCGTCTAAACTTTGTACATCCGTATACCCCGGTTCGACATAATGCAGGGCTAATCTGGGCAAAGTGATTAGGTTCAACTGATTTTGCTAGGAAAGCCAGTGTTTTCAACTCTTTTATAACTACAGTCAAACTTCTCTCTTGGAGTAAATAAAAAAAATAATCACTATAATTATTATTGTTAGCTATTAATAAATAAAATGAATAATCATAATTAACCATAAATAATGAAAAAAAAACTTTCATTTATAGTAAGCAGTCCAATTTAGAAATAATAATGTAATGAAAATATATTTTAAAATATCTTTAGAGAACCAGAAACATGGTAATAAAAATAATGACATTTCCAAGTATATATGAGCCATTTGATGGGTAAAAATAAGTAAAAAGGTTTTCGGAATAGTTATATTTATAGGGTATTTAAGGACCGGCTTCCATCTCAAAATATACGACTCTGCAGTGCCCGAAAATATTTTTGAAAATTATTTTTCCAACTCACCGCTCATCCTTGTCGTATTTGGGAAAGCTGACGTGCTCGAGGAACAGTGAGGACTCGCTCTGAGGCTCCGCGGAGATACCCAGGGCCCTCTGCCTCTGGAAGTTCTGTCCCGATTTGCGAGTGGCACCTGTGGCTGTGCTGGGCCCACTTGCCCCACCACTTCCGCCCGCTCCAGATCCCGATCCCGATCCAGTTCCCGCACATCCCGCCGCACTGCTTCGGCTGAAGGGGAAGACACTTTGGAATTTGTCCAAGTGCGATTTGAGCTCTGCTATCTCGTTGTCTTTAAACTGCAGGGCTCTTTGCATTTCCTGTATCTTCAGCTCCTTGGCCTGAATGATCTGGATAAAGCGCTCCTCTTGCGGCGATGCAGCCACATAGTTGCTTACTATGAAGTTGGGATCCACCATACCCACCGGCGAGGGCGTGGCCGATCCACCCGAACCGCTGGGCGTGCATCCCGAGATCCTCAGACTCTGCATCTGCTGCTGGAGGTTCAACGTGGTGGGCGGCTGCAGTTGCGTGGGCGAATGACAATTGGCTCCGGGAATGGCCACCGGTTGACTTGATCCGGGACTGGGCTGATGATACAAAACAGGGCTTCCTTGGCTGGTATATAGACCCTGAGTCTGGGCCTGAAGCTGCTGCAATTGCTGATAGCGCTGCTGCAATTGCAGCTCCTGTTGGTGCAACAGGCTCCTGGGATCCTGATGCAGTTGCTGTGCCCCCGAAGGTGGTGTTCCGTAGATCAGCGTGTGCGTCAGCACTTCGGAGTGGGTTGGTGGTGCTGGTATCAGCCGCAAACCCGATGCCGTATGCTCCAGACCTATGAGACCACCAGCCGCCGGCAAGGTCACAATGCCACCCACCAGATTGTTATTATTGTTATTATTGTTGGTATTGCTAGATCCACTCGGGTGGGTGTTTGTGTTATTATTATTATTGACGATGCTCACCAGACCCAAGTCGGTTGGGAACTGATAGTTGGCGTTCGGCTCCTGCTGCATACTGGCTGATTTTCGTATCGCCTCCGTAGTATTCGAATCGGTTCGCCTCGTGTTCAGATTTCGATCTTCGGCACTGCTATGCCGGCGATAGCGCTGTGTCTGTGGTTGTTGTATCTGTATCTGAGGAGGAGGAGGTATCTCTATCTGTTTGTGCTGCTCTACGGGTTCTATGTGCTCTATAATGTCCGGTGGCTTGGCCTCGCTCCTCGTATCTGTATCTCTGTCCCGCTCCCAGTCCCGATCGATTATCGCCGGCTGCAGCTTCTGGTAGTCGGCATAGAACAGATTACTAACTGCTGGCTGCTGTTGTGGTGCTGTGGTTTCTGAGGCAGTGGCTACATCTACATCCGCTGCTCCTGGTGGTGCATCTACTGTGGTGCAGTGGGGTGCATTGCTATTGGAGTTTTGGGCTGGCCGCTTGGTTGCGAAGCACAGCCGATCAAAGCAGAAACGCATCCAGGCGGCTTTCCTGATCAACAGCCGCCACGGAAAACTCAGTCACCCAAACGTTAGGAGCCCTAAAAAAGGTAAAAACAAAAATTTAACAAATCAAACAAACAATAAATACAAGGAAAAAAATATAAACATTTTAAAAACAAATAATGAAATATACATATCATTTGATAAACAAACCGCCATATATATATAATTATCTACTTTTCCATTGGCTAGTGTTTTTCTATGACTTTTAGAATAATAAAGTAATATTGTAAACATGAATCACTTTGTGACAGAGTGTCAATCAGGCTGTTATGAAATCTAATCGCTGGCTAATCAGTTGAACTGAACTGATTTACGATCGATGGGTTAACGCGATTGCTGAATAAACAATTTATGCAGGGGAATTCTTCAGTAATAAAAAAAAGTTTCACACCAAGAAAAAATAGTTCGATACATATGAAGAAATTGTAAAACATAGAATGTCAATAAACCTAAAAAACTTGTGGTAAATCAATTATATAAAACTTTTAAAAATAAAAGGAAATTTTTAAAATATATTTAAAATAAGTTCCTAAAAATAATACATTTAAGTCTTATACGCTTTACCCCAAGTGTACAAATTCTTTACCAGAAATTCCCATGGCTGGCAACAACTATCACAATATCAAAATAAAATTCGGTTATCATTTCCCTCGGATACACAACTTGTTGGACAACTTGACAATGTCTTCGCCTGAGTTTTATTTCGGGGGACGACACGCCTTAAGCCCTTCAAGATAAGACACTGGACAAATTGTCGACACTTTTTGAAAGAATTTGAATTAGAAGAATGCCAAATAACCAAGCTGGCACATTTTTTGTGTATTTACTTTTTGTCTGTTGGATTTGCTATTGTTTTCGGACACGTTTAGACAATAATTCAAGTGGAATGAACGGGGCTAAAAATAAATCCAGCAAAAGTTAAACATGCCCTGGCCAACTTATAAACAAAGCACACCGAAACCCTATAAACAAGTGCGGCTGGTTTCGGTTTCCACTTAATGTGCGAATCTGAAGCGGAACATAGAAAAAGCGGCCGAAATTCGCGAGTGGGATGATCACTTGCGTAAAGAGTGGGAATTTAAAGATCAGCCACCTAAATTATTTTCGATTAAGCATGACAAGAAATTTTGAAAAAGCTGTTGAACAAGATCAACCTTTAAAATTACACTAAAACTTTTGCTTATATCTCTGCATCTCATAAAAATGTTACTTCATGTAGATAATATTCTAACCAAATTTAAGATAATAAACATAATAAAAAAATCTTCTAGCTTTTATTTATAAGTTCTTGGAAAATGCTATCACCAAAAACTAACGGGTGCTTGAGCTGAGAACAAGCAATAAATTATCTGTATTTCAGTTTAGGCAAATATTTTCTTAACTTAAGAATCAGAAGACAAATTGGGAACATTAAAATATAATTCTTTGAAAATACAACAGCCATAATCGCTAAACATGTTTGCCAAAAAAAATTAGATCCGTTTAGAAACTCGTTTAAATCAAGATAGATCTTCATAGTGCATCAGCGATCATTTGTTCAAGTAGCTCGCCACCTTGATTCTGGGCTCATCCAAGTGTGTCTGAGAATTCGCAAGACTCTTGACTTCGATTACAACGAAAACGATCGTTTTAGACGGGCATTAGCATGTTAATGATCGCACAGCGGATTAATGTGCGATTTGTATTCCGTGCTATTTATACACCGAACCGACACTCCATAAACAATACGAAATCGGCATTGGGGTGGGGGAGCTGAATGGGTTGGAACTTCGGACGGATGCCCTCAAAGTGCGGGCAATTACCGATCTGTAATTACCCGCAAATTCGCTAAATGCCATTCTCGATCCACACCGAAATAGTGAAAAACTGACACAACAAATTGAGACAATTGAGGAAGAAATTGTCTGGGGGTATTTTTATTTATAGAACACAATTGACGGGCCACTCAAAATCATCTTCATCTACTTCCCCCATATTTTTGTGTCTGTTCAGTTCCATGGGTTTTCAATGAATTCGTTGCTCGTGATCGGAGGCAGCTTTTGGGCCACTTAAGCGCAATTACGGTTGCAATTTGTTTTCATCACGGGCGCATAAATAAGAAAGAAGCAGACAATCAGACAGAAGGGGTCTCTTCTGAGGCGTATACGTAATATTTTAAACGATTTTATGCTCTTAGCGTAATTTAAATGATCCCAATCGCATTGGTGGCAACTCTGGCAAACAGGTTGCCGTTTAATTTTAATTAGTATTATGAAAACATTTATTAAACGACAGCGCGAAACTCGAAATCTTTCAAATGTCAACTCGATTTGGATGGAGGGTAATAACATCGACCGATCGTGAGTTCATTCATGCCTCTGATAACAGGCCAAAGCCGAGTCAAATATATGTTTACTGCTTATATATAATGAGTAATTGTTGGGAGGTCTTCGCATCGATTTGTTATGCTGACCATTTAGGGAAGTTCTGCGGTTCGGCGTGACTGGCCATGCAAAATTGCGAATCCCCAACAACTCACGATGGCAGATAGTGCAATTAGTGTGTCATTATGATCGCAGATAACGATACAGGTTGTGAGCACTCGACAATTAAAGCTGCTGGCCAACAAATTTACATAGATCGGGATCTGCTGATATTTTTGGCAGGAGATGAGATTGATATAAAAGATATATTTAGCTGCTGTTAAAGTGTTGAGTTAAGCGATCTCGATTTGTCTTGCTGAGAAGTGGAGTAAATGGTAAATGGTACACATGCATATTTCAAAATGCATTTTTAATAAATGACAGAATAAATTATTTTAAACTAATTCAATAATAATAAAAGACTTTGAAAATTATGGATCAGGCATTCTACTTAATTCCTTTCATTAGTTAAAAAAGGAGGTTTGAATACGCGTTTTCTTTCTACTGTTCTTTTTCAAAGCATACTTTTAGAAACTTTTAATGAGATTGCAAAGCCCTGCAAATTAATTGTAATCATTATTATTATATAACGTTTACATTTTTTTACAAATACCATCCTTAAAAAATAACCACCGAAACCCACTTTATTCTGACAGCCTGCATCCTTGAAGTCTGCTATCCATCAAAGTCAATTCCAATGATCAACATTTAAATCGTTTTTCTTCAACTTTCAGCTTGCCCCTCTGGCAAATTGCGATCATTGTCGACGTTGGCTAATCAAAACTGACATTTGCGATCATCAGGAGATCCCGAACAAATATTCCGAATGTCCCGCCTGTCAATCAGAGAAAGAGACGGCAACAGGGCGGGCCGAAAGAGACGGACATAGAGATTGACAGGCGGAGACAGCATGTTAAACACCGGTAGCAACAAATAGCATGCCAAAAATGCGCCGCATTCGAAACATTTAAACATAATTAAGCGGTTAGTCAGGCCCAATGACGATCCCATCTTTCCTTCTCTCGAATTGAGACATCAATTGAGAGTTATGTCAACCGTATTTGGCAACGCCATCATCTGTAAACAGATATATATGTTCCGAGACTGCTATAATTATAGGTTTCAATTACTGGCGAGTGACCGGCGCTTCCTCAAAATGCGAACAAACAAACTCACAAGAAGCAGCACCAAATTGAAACAAGAATTCTCCGGATTTCTACTAGACATACATATGTACGTATGAACATATATAAATTGATTCAACGGGGGAATTCATTCCATTTCACTCCATTCGATTCGTTTCCATTTACGCCGCTGGCGTGCAATTATTTAAGTTATTTTCAATTTTCGTACGTTGCATAAACAATCAATAAAAATGTAATAAAAATTAAACTTGAATCGTGTGTCTATGTCGTAAATTTCACAAGAAGTATGTTTTCAGACTGACCTGACCCCCTGCGAACAAATATTATCAAAGCGGGTGATTTAAGACCCCTCGAAATCTAGCCAATGTCGAGGATCGTACATATAGATATGCATTCAGTGTAATTTGCGGCTAGTTTTCAGTTCTGTCGTTTTGTTTATCGTTTATTTTTGGCTTACAAATGTTCATTAGTCCCGGCGACACGTCCGTTGATCGATCGCCATGCCGAAGGCAATTGATCGCCTGATAACACTCGAAAGACATTCAGATACGGCCAGACTAGTGGCTCGATTTAGGCGGCTAGTGGGCATTAAGTGAGCTCTATCTACGGATACGGATACCACATTTTGTATGGCAAAAAATTGGCGCAACGCATGCGGATCGCTTGGTATGAAACGCACGTTCAATCAATTAAAACCTTCGCACAGCTGGATTGCAATTCCAGTTGGTTTTGTTGGGCAAAATTCGGAGTTGGTCCCATTTCGAGGTGACTCACCGAAGGTTGAGGAAGGGTTTGCTGTTGGAATTATTAGGGATTTCTTTTGTAGAGGAAATTTTAAGTACCATTAAGCCATTAGTTGGCAGAAGTAAAACCTAAATAGCCATTTGAAATAATGAATATGGTACCAAGCTAGGTACCACGATATTTGGCCCAGAAAAAGAAATGAATAAGCCGAGAATAAAAGGAAAACAGCTTTCAAACTTAAACTACGTTCTGATAGTCCAGAAAAGAATTTTGTCATGATCCAATCCCTCGTAAAATATTTTGTTTACATATATATATATGTCTCATAGTTCTAGTTTCTTCAAAGCACAAGACAATTATAAGACCATAAAAGTTCTTAACGAAAAGGCCAACTCAAAAGAGCCGCGGCCTGCGATCAAACAAGTTCTAATCAAACTTTTTGCTCATGAGCCACTCAAATTACTTGAAACTTTTGCCAGTCATGTGGTAATTCGATGAAAAATGGATAAATAATAACAAGATATCAAGATGTGTGAAAAAAAACCATAATGAATTAGTATAATTTTCTTTGTTTAAAAATTAAACACATCATGCATATAATCCTAGGTGTCTAATGATTTTCAAATTATCCCAATTTTCACACATTTAAAAAAGCTAAACAATCATTAGTTATTATTTTTATTAAGTTCCTTTTATTTAAAAAATGTTGTTTAGGGTATAAGTAAGATGTGTGATTAGTATGAAGAAAAAACAAATAACTTCCATTGTACAATCATGTTAAACTCATGCAAATGAATGTTGCCATATTTCAAACATCTTTATATACACTCCAAAGTCCCCTCTGTAATATAGAGTTGTTAAAGCATTCCATAATGATCCTAACGATGATCAAACCAGCTAATCAACCGTCACACTTTTTTGTACACTGTTTCTATTTTTCCTCAGAGGAAACTCACTCGACAACCATGAAGAGAATTCTGGATTCTGGACCCCACAACAAGTGCCTGTAGCTTTTCCCCGCTCTTCTTTTCGGACCCCTTATACCATCCGTTATGACAGTTCTTGGCTACCGAATGCACTGCGAGAAAACATCACCTATAGCAACATTTATTTAATTATATTTTAATGAGTTCATAAATTAAAAATCCTAGTGGTATGATCATATCATATGATATCATTCGACTGTACTCTATATACATTTTTCGAAGTACAAAAGTGAAACTAATTTTCTCTGCGTGGCTCTACACATTGGATATCTGGTGGTCACTTTAAGACTTGAAGATCGCCTTGCCTGTCACATGACTGTCTTCAGGAGCAACTCTTCCCGAAGAACTTCTTTTTCCTTTTTTCTCTGGCATTAATTAAAACATCGGCACACACTCACACAAACTTGGTAAGGAAAATTGCCCGCCTGGGAGCGATGCAATGTAAAATAAAAAAATATCGTAAAAGGAAATGGGCTGTTTTACCTTTGAAAGGCTGGCAAAATTCTCGTAAACAATTTGCACTTTTAATGAGCCAAAACAAAGTGTAACACACGCACAAGCACAACCGATTGCCGTTAAGATTCCGATCCGCTGTTTAATTAGTTGGAACCGTTGATTCCTACGCGCTTTATTTTATTTATTTTTATTTTTTTGGTATTTTGTATTTTGTAATTCACGAACTGTGGCAATTTTTGCCTTTCTGCGACTACATTCGTTGTTGACCGTTTGAACGACACTCGAGAACTGTTTTTCGCAGCGAGTGTTGGGAAGCAACGATCGTAAGATCGTAAGATCGTAAGCCTATCGATAGTATGTGTAGTTGACTGACGGCGGGGCGTTCGACGTCGCCTATCGAAGTGAACCCAAACCAAACCCCAGAAGCGTTTGTTTGTCGTTCGTTTGTGGTTGTCGCTTAAATTAAAACTCGGAATTCGGCTGAAACCAGTTGAGTGCACGCACACGACCACATCGACTATATATAAATTCATATCAATATGTCTACGCCTCGCCTGTGATTCGTGCGTTGGCTTTTGCCGATCGTTTAAATAAAATAATAGTAGTAACGTAGCAGCACACACACACACAGTGTGACGGAAAAATTGCATTGGCAGCGATCTAATTGCTGGCTGGCATGCTAGAATGAAAAGCGTTTCGGGGGCAAAAAAAAATCACAAATAATAACACCATCTAGTATCGAAAGTATTTACTTCCAGGCACACGCACCATCGACCGGCACTATCGTTTTAATAGATCCCCTACTTGAATATTTATGAACCGCCCTGGGCAGTTGGGATAGCTTAGCTTCGCCGGTAATTTAAAGGATATGCACCAGACATCTTAATTGCGGGTAGCTTTTGGAGGTAAAAATTATTTGAATTCAAGTGTATCATTTAGATTTTCAAACTTAAGTAAAATAGTTTAAATTAGATCAATATATAGCGAGTACTGACTCAGTAGATATCTTGAGTTTGATATTATACATTATTATTAAACATTCGATATTGTATTTGACTTAATATATTTGCTAAAAAAAACCTAAAATCAAGGTATTAAAAAAAGTTATTTTAAAAAAGTTCAAGGCGAATACTTAATTACAGCTCGTTTTTTAATATTTACAAATAAAATACATAAAGAAAAAAGGAAATTTGGTATTATGACCTAAAAATCGGTTTTAAATATACATCACGTATACGCCAGGTGCATTTGATATATTGTAAGTTACCCCAGAGGAACTAACACTTTCCAATTTATTTTTTCACTCCAAGCTCTTTTGGACCATTTCTTCATTTGCATGTTCCCTTAAAATATTACGCATACGTCGTGTTGACAGCCCAAGGCAATTTATTGTAAACTATACTTAAACTCTCGGGGCGGCACTCAATGGATGATTTAGTGCAGATCACTTAATAAATCATATCCCGTAGCTCAGCCAAATTTCGAAATAGCCAAATTGTTCGCTGGTTATTCTCTTTTTTATGTCATAATTGGCCGCTACTTGCGCGATATTGCTGCGGAAAACGTTTAGGGAAACTGATTTATTTATTACAAACAATATTACGGGGCATGTAAACAAAGTAGAACTGGAAATATTATCAACTCAAAGCAGACGGAAAAGGGGCGCGAAAAGTGTGGACGGGGAAATTGAGTCGAGCATGCAACAATCATTTGGCGTGGGACGTGATTTAAGCAAAAATCAAAACATTATTAAATTGTTTACATTGAAATTCAATTGGAAATAGTAAAAAAAAAATGCAATGGAAGAATTTCAACCACTGAACAAAACTTTGGGTGCTTTTCTACATTTTTCAAAACCTATTTAGTCACATAAGGTGAAAAATTTAGAAGAGCTAAACATTATTTATAGAGTAAAATAATTTTTGTTCAACACTTAAGTGTAAGAATCTATTTAATATAAAAGGTAATCATATTTCTTTTCCTGTATTGTAACTGATACATCTTTATAAAACATTTACATATTTACAATAATTTTTTTGTGTGGATATATAAAGAAAATTGCATTTATTTCCATGTCTGCTTAATTGAGTTGATTGGCAGACAGGGTCTTTCCGAAAGGGGTTTAAGATTTTGACCGAAGTTTTTCGAATGCAAATTATAATATTAAATTATAATTATTAAATGTTTGCATAACTTATATTAATAATACTATTTTCTCATTTAATATTATGTCTGTAATGAGAACTTTGATATTGTGTTTTAATAATAAAAATTTTGATTTAAAAAAAGTTTCTCCGCCCATGAGGATCCATTCAGTGGCCTGCGTATAATTTTATTAGATTGCTTCGATACAAGTTTTCGTTTGTTTGTATTTGGCGACATTGACGCTATTGATAAGGCGTCATGAGAGTCGCCGGTGAGCGTAGTTAATAATTATATATATTTTATTTAATTGGTGCAATCGGAAAGGAAAGGTTATTTGGGCGGCAACAAAGCAAATACAATTGAGTGGTGACAGCACCCGCCCAGTTTTTGTTTTTTGTGTTGCTGAATGCAATTTGGGTTGGGCAGTAAACAGAATTATATTATTGAATCAGATAACACAATTGTATAATATTAATACTTATAGAAAGAGACAACATTTTAAGAGTAAAATAAAATTTTTTTTAACGAAAACATATTTTTTAAAACAGAACTACGTTTTAAAAAAATTTTATTTTCCTTTTTTAATTTAAAACAAATTAAACCGTTAAATTTTAGGACAGCTTTTTAATTTAAACAACAATAGAGAGAGCTTATAGTATTTATAAAAGCTTATGCATTAAAAGCTTTTTGTTATTGGTGATGGAAAAGAAATTTAATATATCGATAGGAAACAATACGGCTAAATATCGAAATAAAAACAGAAAAAATAATAATTTTTCATTGACTTTTAGCAATAATTGTTTGATGGGAAAGCTTTCAAGTTCATGAGAGTCCCATAATTTATATACAAACGTGTCAAGGAAAATCATCAACAGCTGTTTTCAAGATCAGAGAGAATGGCTCTCTTCCATTAAAGAGTAATATTTCCCAAGCCAAACAGCTCTTAGCTAAGAGCACAACTTTGATATAAAAACTCTCTTTAAATAAACAAGTTTCATTGATGAAAAATCAAATTGGTGTTAATTTTTTCGCAAATTGATTGGCAAAGCGATTTTCATTGTCTTTTTTTACTACTGAAAATTTGTCAATTTGACATAAATTTGATATGCAGCTTATTCAAGATTTCGTTTCATGAAATTCGAACTGAAAGAGGGGCACGTCTGCAGAAAGAAGAGCTAACAAAATCTTTTAGCGGGTAAAATTGCAATTGTTTATGGTAGGGTGATGAAGAATTCGAATAGTCGAAAGAATGCTAGCATACGAAAATTTGACAAATTGTTTATTTTGCGGGCTATAAATGGGCGAAATGCTTTTGGGGAACTATTTTTTGAATAAGCAAACAAATCGATTTTGCTGTTTACTATCAGATATACAAATTTATGATTTATGAAATTGTAGGTATAATCGAAAAACAAATAACTTTCAAGAGCAGAATAAAAGTCCTATGTAAATAGTTTTTTTTTTAAGATCTTATGTTTTTATAAAAACACTGAATTCTTTGTGCGAATATTAAAATAAAATGTCAAAATATATTGAACAGTAGGAATACACAAGTTTTTAGGTGTTTATGTCTTGCTCCCCAGTTCCAATCCCCACAATTTCGTGGTTATCTTTTAAAGCTCAGATAAGAAAATATTACCTTGCAAACCTGGAACTCAATTCCCTATTGCGACTTAACTTTCAAGAAAAGAAACATTCCAAGGCCTAGCAAATAAAGTTTGCAATTTATTTCTCCCCATTTGAACATGTGTTGTGCAACTTCTAGAATTACTTCCGATAAGAAAACCTTTTCCTCATTACTACCCAATATATGTGTCCACGTTTGAAATCTGCGCAGTTGTAAAACCGAGTTAATAAACCCTCACACCTAAAAACGATCGAAAACAAATCGCAAAACAACCATACATTTTAATGGCACACAGTGTCAGCTATTTTTCACTGTTGCCTGGTTGGTTTGTTTGTTAAACTTTATGACAAAAAGCTAAAAATAAACTAGCAAACAAAGCAGAAAAATGAGAAGCAATAACTAAAACAACAACTGATCTTTGTTCCCCGTGATTTGCTATGAATGTACAATATAAATCAGCACAAAGAAATATACAAGTAACTACGAAGAAAAAGATCCCCGACTTATCCTTGGAGTGCCCTTGAGAAAAGGGGTCGATAAGCCATAAGTTTTATCAGAAATGACTACATCCCATATTTGAAAGAGCATAATATAGAATCTTTTACACATTAATTGGTTTATTAATGATAACTAGTCTTACTCTCTTACGCATCCAAAATGTATTTGCATATAAAGCTTATTTTAAATATTTTTTAAATATTTTTGACTTGAAGAAAACATTTTTCCTAGGGATAAATCCAGGGGGATCCAGGATTCACTTTTAAATTTTTTTGGAAACCTTTTTTTGTTGAATACTTTTTGAATACCACGATTTCAGTAGATAATGGATAAGTCAATAATGCAATAAAGTGAATTTGTTTATAAGAGACCTTATGAAATGTTTACTATTTGTTGTTTGTGTTTACTATAGGTAATAGTATATAGTAGATGGTTTAAGAATTTTAGATAAGTTTTGAAGAAATATCTTAAATCTATTTTAGAAGCCAAGAAGGGTCCTCCAATCTAGTTTTAAGTAAATTTAAGTTTCATTTAGCATATTCATCTTTTTTATAAATAAAAAAAATATTATCAATATTTCAAGGTTGTTGAAGTGATATGGTGTCTTTCCTTATCTCTCTACGATATCTTGTAATGTTCGGTATTAAAAAGGGCTAAAAAACACTGAACCCTAATTAAGTATTCCAGACGCGGACAAGAAAGAGATAGCATTGCAACAGCGAAAGAGAGGGCTATAGTGACTAAAATGGTTTAAGGGCGCCATCGCAAAAAAAATATTCAAAGGCCAAATCGATTGTGCAATCGCAAATTTCGTAGGCGGCATAAATCCATAAATAAACAATAATAAATTAGCTGTTGTTCGACAAACAGCGGACAGTAATTGCATATTAAAATGGGGCTTACATGTCGACGAACAGTGAAGAAACTCCAGAGGCGTATAAAAAAGTCCAAGAGAATCGCTCTCTTTTCCTCCTCTTCTTGGTTTTTGTGATCAGCCGGCTTTTGCGAAGAAAGTTTCTCGGGTTCCACTTGTTGATTTGATCGGCTCTCTCGCTCGCGCACTCTTTAGTTTCCTCGTTAATTCACAGGAAGCACAGAATTAAGGCCGAAAATTTATATGTATAAATTAAATGCAGGCGGTACACGAAATTTCGTCATCAATTTAGAGAGCCTGCACTTTTGTTTTCTCGAGTCTAAAAGCGTTTCGTATCTATGAAATTGGGCATTAAAATTTAAATGATATTAGCCGCAGAACACAAAAGATTTGAAAACGAAGAAGAGGCCGAGAAAGTCACTGGGAGAGCAGCGTTCCAATCTCTCTTTTACGCTCACTCACTCATCGCTGTTATTGTTATCACCTGAGTCAAGTACAGTGGGATCTCGACTTAAATTTCACTTAAATTGCATTTTGATTTTAAGGCATAGGTTAAATACGTCAAAGTGGTGAAAAGAACTCGAACGTTACGTGTGAAAATTTGAATTTTGTACAAAAAAGTCTTGCTAGCATATCCAAACTTGACAATTTATTATTTCGGCTCAAATAAGAGTAATAATTAAGTAAACAAAAACAGTCTTTGCCAGAAGGAAACAATTAAAATATCTTTTTAAGGCAACAAACATTAAAGTCAATGCGGATATTTTCTTCTTTTAATTTTTCCTTATTTTTATTTTATGTTTTTCTCACATTGTGTTCTACTGTTTTTAACAATTAAAAACAATTATTAATTTTAAATCTCGATCATTATATCTTTCTAAACTCTAAGTGCCAAGCTCCACTGTACTGCTCACTCTCTCTCTCTCTCTTTAACTTTATCGCTTACACTACTCTCTTTTATTTTCAACTTGCTCTCTCGCTCCGCATAGTTTGCCTTGTTGTTGTTTCTGCCAGCGTAGCGTAGTTAACTTGAGCGGCAGCAACAACAACAGCCATACTTGTTGCTAAAAATAGAAGCGCGGCGGCGAGACAGAAACAGAAAACAGAAAACAGCAGCGGCGGAAAAAAATATGTATAAAAAAAAGCGAAGGCGGCAACGCGAACAAATTGGAAAAAATTGTATATGACGAGCAACAAAAACAAGGAGTAACTAACAGAGAGAGAAGAAGAGGAGTAGTTACAACAACAAGTGGGCTTCTATCAAAATACAATATATCGAAGAAAGGCAAAGAAGAAGAAGAATGCCAAAAGAAGGAAATGCGACGCAAAAATGCAGTTCAAAGAGAGAGAGAAAGAGAGAGGGATTTTTGAAAATGCAATAAAAGCTTTGATTGATGCATAGGAAAGTGTCCAGTTTGTGGGAATTTCGCAGGAAAAATCAGTCACAAAAGTGCGTCATGCCTATGTGCCAAAGAGAGATAGAAACAAACAAGTGATTTTCCATGCATTTAATTGCTGGCTAGACTGCATTTTAATTTATTAATTTTTCACTTTAAAATCACAAAACTGAAAGAGAGCCGCTCTCTCACTCTCCTTCTCTTTTTCTCTGGCCTTTCTTCCCACCCCTCCCACTCTCTTCTTTTCGTGCATTTCGTTTCACTAAAACTGCATTCACATTTCACATTTTCCCGACATTCAGTCAACTTTAACCGTTGCCTTTGCTTTAATTAACTTCTAAGGCAAATAGTTGCACATATGGAAAAGGCTAGTTGGTGTTTTTAGAATTCAGAATTGAGCACAAGCGCTAGATCGTTCGACTAGCGGAAAGCAACAACAACAACTAACCAAGTGGCACGCACACAAGCACGCGTCGTTTGAAAAACCGCCGATTGGGATCGCGATGTGAAGCCCGCGAGAGCGAAAAGCAATCTGAGCACTCGGCGCAGCGAGAAAACTCAGTGGAGCCACAAATCCATGAGGAGAGCCGCAGAGAGGCCCCACTGAGAGAACCCGTAATCAGCAGCAGGTAGTTCGCGATAGTACAGTCAGGATCCTCAAAGTGGAACGTTAAATTAATGATTGGATAAGAAAACCCATTGCGTTGCTTATATTAAAAAATGTTTTTTACAAACCAAGAGTAAAGGCACACATAAATAACTTCATATATAAATTTGATATTTCCGTAGTAAATTTATTGCTTATCATTTTTAAAAACTTTTTAGTTTTTAAATAAAAATAGCAAAAATCAAGATGGCTTTTAAAAGTATTTTGAGCAACGTCTAAAAAGACATATGAACTCATTCATCTTGAACGATTCGTACTAGATTTTTCTCTGAGTGTAATGTCAGTGAGGTACTTATAGTTGCGCTTAAAAGAACAAGATGATAATAGTTCATTGGATAATCATTTTCTCAGAAAAGTTAAAACAAATCGGTTTTATTAATCACGACGAAAAACCGGTGAATGCAGTCATCTTAAAAGTCGGTCAAGTGCGATCTCTTTCAAACTAATCCCGTATTACAAACTGCAATTAAATTCGAGAGATTTATTAACTTCCTAACGTGTACACCTTGTACACCTTGTCACACAATTATAGCTTCCTCTACATAAAAGGGTTATCTAGGTATAGAAATTATAATTGAATGTAAACTAATTGTTAGCTAACTAATGTGGCTTTTGGATGTTTAAATGTTGTAAAATTAAATGGAAACAGTTTCAAAATGGAACTGTTCAAAAACTCCAAATTTCAGTGGTGTACACAAGATATGGTTGTGTGTGAATATGTGTGAGTGTGTGTGGCTTGGCAGGGGTTTTAAGAATACATTTTGTGTAGCATACGTTTTAAAACAAATTTTGTGTAGCATACTTTTCTACTGATGAAAAATAAATAAATAATTGGTCGAGACACGTACCAACGGATTGTGTGGTTGTGGACTTTGGTAACTCATGTAGAAAATTGTGTAGTCTACAAGTAGAATCATAGCTTCGATGGATCGACGTTAGATGGCGCTATGACTTGATGTAGAATAAACAAAAGCAAGAAATAAATTACTTGTAAGTAAATAACTTAACAAATTGTAATACAAAATAGAAAAATTTAAATTAAGAAATACAATTTTTAAATAAAAATAAAAAGTCACATGCATTAGATTTTCAACTCCACCACCATATCAAAAATATTTAGTTTTTCAGTCAAAAAAAAGTTTTTAATTTGTTCCTTAAATTATGGTTTTGTGTAAGATGGTCCACTTTAGGCGTGTATGTTGGGAAACATGTTTTTCGGCAAAGTATACTTTTTTACTTTGTATTTACTTTTGTATTTTAAATTTAATTTTTGTAAAATATTAAAAATGGACTAAACAAACAAGAATAGTTTCCCGAAAATATTTGAAGTCTTACAATGATATAGTGGCATTAAACAGTGAACCAACCTACAGCCCTTCTACTTAAACTTTTTTCTCTCCCGTCAAGAAATGCCAGCAAAGACTAAGTTCATTATAATTTCGATTCTTTCGAAAGTTAGCAATATATTTAGTTGTAGCAAAAACCAGATGACCTAGCACTTGATAAGCATTTGAGAAGGCGATAAGAAGCTGCGCTGGGGTATAAATACCGTTGCACGCCCAGGAAAATCATATTCAGAAAATCTACCGAGATGAAGTTGTTGGTTAGTTCTTTCATTTAGGAACTTGTAATAAATGTATTTAATATTTATACTTCCTGCAGGCTGTGCTTTTTGCCGTTCTGGGCCTTGTCCTGACGACTGCCATTCCTGTTCTCGGAAATGTGCTCCCACAGCGTCCACCCACCGGTGAGAAAGCCCAAGGCGGCAGCTACCCAATCACAGAGTTTTCACGAAACCGTCAAGTAAATTCTCCTGTTTATTACACTGGAATAAAAGGATAAACAAAAATATATTTTAACTTATAATTAAAGACAAAATTACAAAATAATACAATAAACTGATTTTTAATATTTCTGGCAGTGCACAGAGAGAAATATCCAAGAAAATTGTTCTGGAATTGAGAACATTCGTTCTTAAAAACCGTGTAAGTACATTTTGGTACCAATGTTCTCAATATTAGAACGAAATGGTGAGAAGTGAAAAGTTAAATTTAGTTTACTTCACAACTTTTACGGACTGAACTCATAGTTTATTTGTTGAGATATACAAAGTATGTACATATATACCGAAAATTCAAAATTTTAAACTTAAAAATGTCGTTCTATTTTTAAGAACATTTTCAACTCAGATGAGAGCGTCAGAATTTTCTCAGTGTTTATCTTTTTCAAATTGGGTGCCTAGGGAGACTTGGAAGTTACAATAATGTTTAGTAATCCCCATAACACTACTAATTTCGAATAGGAAACCTTCCCAAGGCACAATAGACAGGCATCCTAATCCAAGACGAGCGTGTAGAACGTCCTCTGGCACCGCGAACTGACATGCAAATTAAAAAGCATATGCTTTGACTCCTAATCACAAAGCACTTTCATTCAGTGACTGCTCCACCCCGCCCAGTATTTTCCTTTTTTGCCCGGCTCACTTGATGGGTGGCTCTTTTCTTCCGCCTGTCAGACGTCGCTGCCGTCGCCTTGTCCGCGCTCACATCCGCACTACCATCCGCGCTCACATCCGCGTCCTGCTCCGCCTGACGTTGACATTGATGTTGGCTGTTAGCTGTTGGCTCTTTGGATGTGTTTGCTGTTTCGGGTGGCGGCTGATGCGAGTGGCTGCCATTTGGGTGCGTGATGGATTTCTGCAGCACTGCGAGTCGAAATCCAGCGACTCCGACAGCTCGGCGCACAACTACGCCCCAAATGGCGCAAAAAGCGAAATCCCCCAAAATGATTAATGACTTTTCAAGTGACTTGCAACAAAACCAAGTCACCAGTCACATAACGAGCCTCAGCCAGGATCAAAAAGTTGTGGCTGCACTGAGGAAAATCTTATTTGGATAGATTTGTGCCATTGTATGCTGAAAAGTATGCTATGAAATTTGTGCAAATTATTCAAGTGATGTTTGAATTTTAGGATAATTACGAGACCCAAGTTTTTAAATTTTTATTAAATAGAATTTTTATAAATATTAATATACCTAAAGATAATAAAATAATTATGGCAACATAAATCTCAAGAGGTTTTAACAATTCTTAAGAAAGTGCCGAAAAGTATGCTATAAAGACATCACAGGAATATTTATACCTAAATCTTCTCGACTTTAATATTTAAAAAACTTAAACTTAACTATCCCTTAGATTTTTAGAACCGTATCTCTAAGTGTAATACCTTTCATTGTGGGCGTCTCAGAAGAGGGCCACAAATTAGTCTCAGCAAACGAGGACGCGACTCAGCTCACATCCACATCCACGTCCACATCCACTTCCACGTCCAGAGACATCCTCCGCTGCTCCGGGCTGCTCGTCTATCTTTGACATCACTCTGGCTGAGTGATGGGGCTGCGTGTGTGGGGTCCTCGTCAGTGGAATTAATGATTTAAATGCGGGGGAGGGGACCTCCACTGGCCTCACTGGCTGACTCGAACTGTTGTCGTGTCATTAACCAACACTCCGGCGTGCCATTTTCACCTGCAGCTGTAGTCATTTTTCAACACTGAGCCAGTGGGATGGCATCGTTAATTGCAGGCAAACGTCAAAAGTCGTCTGTCAGCCTCCAAACCTCCAATGGACCATTGCTCCATTGCTCCAATGCTCCTCCTCTAGCCTCCAACCTGCGGGCTCCTAGCATCAAACATCAAACATCAGGCTGAAGCCTGGCTTCACGTCCACGTCCACATCCACGTCAGAAGCTGTCAGGCTCACAAAAGTATACATCACGGGCCAAAGTCCCCGAATCCATTCCCGTTCCTTTAGCCAGAGTCCAGGCCTGGCCTGGTCATGGTCGATAGTTGGCTGTTGCTGTTGCAAAAGATTGATGTGTGCTGTACGACGTCGGCAGGCAAAACGGAAAATAAATGATGTTGGTGATTATTTTTCTTCATTGAGCGGCAGTCGCTGCTGCCTGTTAGCCCCGCCCTCCCTTTGGCCGTTGTTTCAACAGCCATTTTGGCCATCAATCTCGGAGAGGCATCAGGCGGACCCAACGGGTGTTTTCGAGGTGGCCATCAACTGGCGGATGGCAACAGGGGGGTTGCACTCGCACTCGCACTCGCTTATTCATTCATTCATTCATTCATACGCAGCACATTTAGACAATCTATCAAGTTAGCCTGGCTGGAACTGGCTCAGTTGGGTGGTAAGTGGGCGGTGGACGGAGACCAAGGATCGGTGTTTATTGGAATACACCAAAATATGTCCATGGATCAGTAGGAATTTAAGCTTTTCAAATGTTTCCCCAAAATTGTATTTTTATAGGACATCATGTATTGGGGTCGTTGAATTTTTACCTATATTTTATTTATTTATATTTTATTATTTATGAGATGTTAGTATAGTTTAGAAAACTAATACTTAAACTAGGTCATAAACCTAAAAATCGTATAGAAATTAGCAGTTAACACCAACTATTTGTTTATAAGAAAGACGAGTACTATACAGAGAAAAATTGTATAAGATATAATGATAACTTTAATAAAATTCAGTATGAATTCTAAATATATACGGATTTTTGCTCTTTTTTTATTTCAGGGAGTTATGAATATGGACAAATAATACCCATTAAAATGATCTCGGCGACTAAAATTTATTTACCATCAAAGACTTTAGACCATAAATTTCTTAGGATGGATGACAAACGAAAAACATGCCTTTGAAGTCCTTTTCCATTCGTTGCGTGGAGGACAGCAGTTCCTTTTCCCCGTATCCACGAGCATATATCTCCATCCATTACCCTGCCACTTCTCGCAACCAGGACATTACCACAATAACGCCCACAACTCTCAGAACATCTGCAGCTCTCCTACTCGAACGTTAGTGGGGAAAAGTGCAATATCATCAATTACTCGACAAATTTAGTGCCAGAAGACCAAGTCACTGGTCGTTTGGCGAAGCTGCGGGGGAATTGCCCGAACGGCCAGAGGGCAGAGGTCGGAAAAACGAAATGTCCGGATGCAAACAATAAAATACATTTTCCGGTTACTTGTCACCCACTTTTCTATCGGGGCCGCCTTCGTCTTGACCCGCCGGAGAGGAAAATCCCTTCTTTGGTCTGAAAAGAAGTTGACACATGCTGCTCCTCCTGCTTTTCCCCCTCCTCTGGTGTTTCCTCCAGCAGGAACTGCAGGACCAGCACAGCTGCAAGTTCTCCGACTTCTCCGGGAAACTCCTCGGCAATTGCCAACAAAGCATTTCACTTTTTCGGTGGGGAAAAGCACTCTTCCTGCTGTTGTTGTCGTCCAAAGTCATGTCGACAATAGCTTTAGCTTTGCTTTTGACACTTGGTAAATGGCGCCCGCCCGCTGAGCGACTGCAGCCAGCATTTCGCCCACATGGCTCAGCTACCCTCCTCCTTCGACTGCCAGCATCCTGCGGCCTTCTTGTGGGCGGCCAGTGGGCGTGGCCGGGTCACTTGTTTACCGCTCCACTTACGCGTCGCTCTCGAGAGCTGCTGGACACTTTTCCGGCCACTGCTGGTGAAGCTCCTTCCAGTTTTTCTTGTCCTGGCTCGAGATTTCCAACCCAGGTGCACTGGAAAAAAATTAAAAAAAAACAGAATGTTTTACATAAATTAAAAATCTACCATTAATTTTATATGACTAGGGATCACGTTTAAGTGTAATTTTAGGTGCCTAAAAGTATGCAGAGAATTTTATTTTTGAATTATTTCATAACATTTCTGAGCTTAAATATATTGTTGCATACTTTTGGGCACATGCAAAAATAACACTTAAAAGTTAATGTTAAATTCATAGTGATTTGTTCGGAATTTCTTTGGAAATATAAATAAATTTATTTATTCCCAAATTATCAAATTATCAAATTATCATAGCACTCATAATAATTTGAAAATGGTATACCCATTGAGCTGAAAGAAAATAAATTTCCCCGACTTCTGCGATTCAATAATAATTTTTTCTCTGCATGCCAATCCCATTGCATAAACCCCCTTCCTTTTAAATAGAAATTGTCCCGAAGTGCAAAGTGCAGGGCACTGAGGGCACCGATGGGAAGTTCGCCCTTCCTCTCCTGCTGACTTCATTGCCTTTCATCACCCAGACTGCAGATAATAATTTATCAAGTGCGTGTCGGGATGCTTGACACAAGATTTGTTGCCGCTGCTGTGGGGATATGTCAAGTCGGATGCCAATCGGCGACAGTGGGAATGACAGACGGACGTGAAGTATTGGATCAGGTTGGCGGCAATCGATAAGGCAATCAGTGGGAGGGCATTTGCATGGATACTATTCTAGACCGGAAATTGATATTAGAGCTCTGGAGGGAAATTAATTTCTGCAGGAAAATATACAAAATAACATTATTTACTGAAGTTGGGATCTGTGCAACTATCATAAGAAATAAATATACCAAGAAAGAGAAAGTTATGGACAACATAGCGACTTCCACTCCCTTCACTTTATTTATATCAAAGTATCATGTCACCAGAGTCCTTGGACATTTATCCTTCCCCTAAAAGTTTCTCTTTCTCTCTTTTTCCATGGAGCAAGCGAAAATATTGGCCAGCATAAATCTTGGCGGCCAAGTAGTAAATTTTCATTTTCACACCTTTCAACACTTTTCACGCTAACACGACCAGAAGGAACATTTTGCTGTCAAAAATAAAAGGCAGACTAGCAAAGAGGCAAAGAGATTCGACCTCTGATCCCGCCCTTTCTCCCCATCTGTTTTCCCCCTGACAAGCTACACAAATACTGTCATATGCAGCGGGAAAGGACCGGGAGAAAGTAGTGAAAGAGGAGCCGAGCAGTCCGAACAAGGAGCATCAGAGG